TAGGACAACTTCTCAATCTCTGGCGTGCGCGGTGTAGAATTACCTTGAGCGATCCGTTCAGCATGTCGTTCTGAAATAGCTGAACGATAATCTGTAGATCAAGTGGTCCAAAAACGATCTGAAACTGCCATAGTCTTTTCATACCATTCGAGCAAAGATTTGTTGTAAAGTTCCTCTTGGTTGACGTGATGTCAAATGGTGGCAATTGAAATTCTACGGGCGGTTGTAGATAATTTACTGGTCTTAAAATTGAATGTGAACTAACGGTGTCTGTTACCGCTGTTAGTGGCCTTGCATTAGGGGTTGCTTCTATTTCCATAATGAACGACGAACATTGCTGAATGGGAAGAGTGATGAACCAATTGACTGTGCCAATCGAATGAATGACTTAACAAGTCTGGGAAGTGATTCCTAGAAGCATTCTTCCCATGGTTAAAGGGGTGTGATGAACTTCCATCGAATATGACGGCTCGTAAGAGAAGAAGAAACGAGGGTGAATGACGGTTGTGTATGATGACTCTCTGCAATGTGTTGTTTGCCGAACGAACCGTGGTAGCATTATCGCTTAGGATAAGTGATGGAGTGCCTCTAGATGGCTACGAAACGGCGGAAGGCTAACAGAAATTCTTTAGTAGTAGTGTTGAGTACAAGTTCAAGATGGATTGCTAGCCATACATGTTAATAGACAAATCCGAATTCCAGCGGACGTAGTAAAGGTGACCTTGTAACGATGTGGTTCAAGATAGTCCAGTGCAATGTTCTGAAAGACTCGAGATTTAGCAACTTTTTCATCTGGTAAATTTTGCATGTCCGGGTGACGATATGGAAGTGCATTGGTCTTCATGCATATGATGCAGGTACGATGAATCTTAGCGACGGTATGACGGATGGATGGAATGCAGTACGATGAGTGAAATATAGCTATAGTAGTATGTACACCTGAATGAAGTTGCGTACGATGTATGTGCATGACGATGAGATAAGTAAGCGAGCACGAAAGAGTAAGAAGGATTGGCGAAGAAGCGGTAGAGGACCATTTGTCTGTACGACGTAGACAATGTATAAGTCCGGTGGATGAACGATGAGCATTGAAGCGAAGCAGCGGTAAGCGGTTGAGAATTGACTCACTTTCACGCTAATGCTGATTGAAGAGTAATTCTTCAGCTGCTGTAAATCTGCGACTGAAATGTGGGTAAAAGTGGGCGAATGTTGATCGTTTGTAGTATTTGAAAAAGGGCGAGTACTTGATAACATACGGTGAATAAAGCGAAGAACGTTTGAGGTTGAACGAACGAGTTTGTTATAATGACTGAAAGCGGGAAAACGAAAAGGCGAAGTATAAAAGGAGGATGGAGCGAGCGTAGTAAGCGTCTGATACTCTCGTTGAATATCAGGCGAATGTTCAAGTTGAGGAATGTAAAAAAAGGAGCGAAGAAAACTGGGCAGTTTGTGGCCAACTTGCTTGTAGTAAGCGAAGAAACTGTGCACGTGTCCACCAAAAGTGTCTTTCTGAGGTTGAAGTAGGAATACCTTTTGAAGCACAATCTGCTGGATTAGATTTCGATTAGACGTAGTGGAAGCGAGTAGCGATGTTCACCGATTGAGAGTGGTCCAAAAGAGAACGTATTCCTGCAATGCGATTATTGACAAATATGCGTCAAACACGATTGCAATGTATCCAATGAAGAACGATTTGCGAGTCTGCAAACACGTGAACTGCTGTGATGTCTGAGTGCAGTTGTAGATACACGAATTTAACAAGACGTAGACCTATAAGAGTAACCAGTGATTCCATGCGTGGCATGGTTATTGGCTGTCGTGGTTCTAACAAGATTCAGCCATTACAAGTTGAACTGAAACGGTAGACCTATTTCTACATAGTAGATATACACAAGAAGCGTATAGACGTTGCGAAGCGTCTCCAATTACGCAGAGTTCCAACGAGGTAGGATTTGTTGGCATAATACAACGAGATATTGATGTAATAGGTTGCCTGATATCCTGTATAAGTTGTTTCCAACGTTGACGATCTTGAGGTTCAAGTGGGTCATCCCACTGTTAGGATTTCAACCATAATTCCTGTAGAAAGACATTAAATGGCGCAAGTAATGGTAATAGTAAACCTAGTGGATCGCAAGTCGAAGCGAGCGCTTTAGGTGCAGTGCGTTTAAAAACTACTGTGTGACGAAGTATACTAAAGGGAATAATTAATTGGTCTAAATGTGTATTCCATTGTATGCCTAACAGTAAAATATGTGAAGAACACTGCGGCGCAATGGTTCCATTGACAAGGGTGAAATTACAGAGAAATTGACAGAGAATCATATACCTAGACACGAATAGAGATTTAGATTCTGTATGCTTACGTATTGCTTCTTCTTCCGTAGATGCACCCAGTAGAAGATAGTCGTGTTGAGTCCGATCTCTGTGTTTGATGGATTGGCTGAATCGCGACGAAGATAGTATAGTGTTGAGGCTGCCAAAAGAAACGGTGATGCAGTTTCACCAAATGGAACACGTGTAAAGCGAAAAATCTTTCAACCATAGAAATCTTGCAGAGTCTCTCTTATCGATCTGTAAATCTGTAGGAATGCTTTCTCTACATCTAAAACGAATAGATAAGGTGACAAACGAGCGCGAAGAAGGATTACAACAAGGTCTGGTAGCAGAGATGGTCCTGCATAATGACAATCATGTAGGCTTGGCGATCCTTTATAATGAGACGATGCGTCGGAGACGATTCTAAGCATCGTAGTAGACGATTGTTTAACTACTGTTTGATGAGGGATGCGTATGTTCTTGGGTTGTACGTTGGATATTCATGACTTCCTCGATCAACCCTTGTTTATGATAGTCAACTATTGTAGCGGCGTACTTCTTCCAGATGTTTGGCTTATGGTTAGTGGAGAGTTCTGTATTGATTTTCTAGTCTCTTGAGCCCTAGTCGTCGATCATCCTCGAGTTTCGGATGTGATTACATCCAAGAAAACTGCACGTAAAGGTATCCGTTCAAACCTGTCTTTCTGAAGTGTTGAAGCACTCTTGCATCTCGTTTTGATCGAAGAGGGGATCTGGATTGCTTGTGATTCTATGATATCGAGATTGGCGAGCCGCGATATTGGGTCTGTTTTGTGTTGTATAGACGTCGTATAATATTAGCGGCGATGACTTATTGCTGAGAAAACTGAACGAAAAAACTTTGAATTTGAGATTGTGGGTCCACAACGGGTATGGCAACTAGTCTTGAGGGTAAGTAACTGGTATTTCGGTAGCAACGATGTCCCAGAAGTAGTCTATCCCTATGAGAATGTCTGGTGTAACACGACAAAGAGCTGTGAGTGTTTCCAGTCGAATATCCAATGATTGGAGTGTTTTCATCTAGTGCGTGAAGCAGTAACGGAGTAGTTGGCACTGTAATCTTGTTCTTGGTATTTTAGATGAGCGAAAGTGGCAATTTATGATGGTCCAAGAAAAAAAAACTGTAAACTAACTGTAACTGTAAATTGTAAACTTTGCCTGATCGTTCGTTGACTTGATTGCTTCGAATGCAACGATAGTAAACATCTCTTTCTCGTATATTGACAGTTGTTGTTCATCGACGATGTGCTATGAAGCTGGTTTGGGAGGCGGTGTCCAAAAGGAGAATGACTGGCTAGTTCTTCCTCTTAGCCCTGTAGAGCGAGGCTTGAACTGACATGAGAGTGCACTTACCCATTGTATTAGTTGCAGCCGAGAGTTGGATAGGTTGAAGTTGTTCAACTGGTTCTGTTTCATCGTCGGATTGACTAGTCGAGCGAACTGATGTTGACTGTTCTTGTGGGTATTGTAACGCTCTTATCGCTATAATGTGTCCAATCTGAGCACTATCTCTAACTGGTTGTTGAAACGAACTGTTGCATGTTTCGCACGACGTGTTCTTCGCAGAGAAGGGCTACGTTCCAACAGATGCCGAATAGGCGAAGTGGATGAGTAGCCTTACCTGTCAAAGGAGGGTATTCTCGATTGACGACTGTGCGAAGAATCTGATAACTGAGTACGATGACTTTCACGATAGCGTATCGACCTGTCGAATGGCGAGGCAGTATCTCGCTTGAGGCACAATACCTGGTCATGTTTACCAAAGCAGTGCGGCATTCGGGATATCCGCATTGAGAACTGGTGTGTCCCTTCCCAAGGAAATTCCAATACAAGACGTGAGCCTTCACTATGAGACGACGATTGGAAGGAGACATGCGATGGTGACAACGGAGCGAACGATGATTCGGTGAGCTACAAAAACAGCAAAAGTCAGGATTGTACCTAGGTTCCGGAAATTATGTTTCAGAATGGGTTACTAAAACCGGGTTAACCGTGAATTCTGTTGACATAGGTTTTCCTATCGTATGGTCGTTTAGTTTCTCAAACTCCTCAATAACTTCGGTAAGCTCTGAGAGCTCTGGAAGTGTTCAAATCTTACCGGAGCGTTGTTCAAGCTTGTTTACCTCCAGGTGGATCTCGAGCGAAGACTTGTTCTTGATGAGCTTCATAAGAGACAACGAGGTAGTAGTGTTCTCAGAACGATTAAGCTCTAAGATTTGAGACCGGACCTGAGGTGGAGTGTCTCTTTGTGACGAGGCTGAAACACATGAAGATGGTAACTGCTCTAACTTATGATGGAAAAGTTTACGCGTAAACTGCGGACGATGGTATCGCTTTTTAATTCCCTGAATTGCAAGACGGTAGTTTTCGGGTTTAGGTGAATCGAACCCTTGCGCAATAAGCGCGGCACCGCCTTTAAGAGCGCTAGTAAGGTAGATGAACCTACGAGAAAGTGGTAAATGATCATTATAATGGACAGATGTCTTGTAACGACACCAAAATTCGTGATATTGCGTAGGATCCCCATAGGAGACTGAAAGTTTCAACTTGCGTAACTGGATTGGCTGTACGAATGGAGTATAAGGAGATGTTGCTGTTAACGCAGACGAAAAATGGTGCTGCCGTTCTTTGCCAACATCCGATTACTGATCTCGTGGCGAGGTGTTGCGAAGAGGTGAGGTGGATAGGATTAGCGAGGCGGTAGCATACACGATGTTGTTGGTAAGCTGATGGTGAGATCGGAGTGAAGCCTCAATGGCTTCAGCCATCATGAGCTGTGTATCCAACGCTGTGATGGTCTCAAGCGCGTCAGATTCATGCTTATCGCCTTGCACTTCATTCCAAAATTGATCGAAGTCCTCACTAACAGTTGCGCGATCTGTCTGAGTCTGGATGTGAAGTAAAAATAACTCGTAGAGTTCCTTGAGGATTTCCAATTTTCTCTCTCTCCATTGCGAACTTGGCGGCTGATATTGCTCCTTGACGGCGAAGAATGTTTCGCAGTTGAACTTCTGGAGTATAAGTGCAGTCAAGTAGGAAGAATCGACAGCGGAAATCATCTTGGTTAATGTACCAATAGCCGTGGTAACACGAGATTTTTGTCCGCATAGGGTAGACATGACGTTAGATGGCACCTTCTAAATTGAGAAGGGTGTACGCCTTTGTATGTTTACGGTAAAAGATAGAGATGTTGATCGACGGCTAGTACATGACGATACAAATCATGTGAATCTCATTCGGGAAATCAATATGATAGCGCGTGATTTTACAGACAGAAAGAGTATTCTGGGTAAAGGGCTTGCAAGACGTAACTCAAGGGGATAAACGTTTGACGACATAATGACATGAATGGTACTAGTGGCGCAAAACGTTCCAGAGCGTACTCAAACGTGCATGTAGGACCTTCTCGGTTGATTCGTGACGATCATACTGGGCCTTGCCCATGCCGAGACAAAACCCAGTATGATCGCACGAGTCGCACGTGGAACATGGATAAAAGCCACAGACGCATGGTTTGTGGTTCTTATCCATGAGCCACGTGAGCTCGCGACTTACCCAATGCTGCCGGAGTTATATCACTGGATCGACATTGAAAGAATCGCTGTCATGGCTCCAACGATGAAAATGGTTCTAAGTCCGCGATTCATGAAATCCGGCCCAACGTACTAACTGTGGAGCTTTTGCGTCCATGTCGTCGAACACGCCGCCTGCTATCTCGTCCTAATAGTCAGCTGCCTTTTACGTCGTATGACTTCCACGGTCGACGTGTTTTCCGCGGCTATGCCTTACACGGCTGATAATGCTGGGACGCGTGCATTGCGGGTAAAATTTGGGACAGCAATAGGTTCACCAAGCAAAGAGGGGCTAAAAGAATACTGGTTCCGCTTCTCACTAACAGCGCTGTGACGGCGGGTGGAAGTGGCGCGCGACGGGATGCCCCATGTCGTGCATCTTGACGCGACGCGTTCGATCACTATAGCTGTATATGCCTTTCGGCATATACAACTACGGTCCGATGCACCATGTGGTGCTTCTGCCTGAGGGCTCGGACTAGAAGATTGCATCGGTGGTGGAGCCCCGCATCGTCGTGGCTGTGGGATTTCTGGGGCCCACCGTACGGGAAGGTCACTTGAATGCACCTACGAATGCCCGGAGGTTTATTACTTTAGTCCTGACGCGGGTACGACTAAGGCCTTCCAGCCCACAAATCGAGCTGACCACGATCGACGAAGACTTAAGGTACAAGGTACAAGAAGTCCGGCAAATAGACGGAGGTTTGGCTGAAGCGACGAATATGAAAAAACGGACTCGTAACGAGAAGCGGAAGGACGATGGAAACGATAGGTTTGATGAACGAATGTGTGAAATTAATGCACTGATATTAAGTATACTTCATATGATAACTCAAGGGCATGCATTTCTGCGAGGCATGAATGTCACGACAATGAGCTAATTTTTTTATTGCGCTCTAGCGCTCAATGTTGAAAGTAAAGCAGAGGACTACCAACCACATTATCACCTCCAATTTTTGCACAAAGTGCGGAGCACGATTCCAGTACAGATCGAAATCACAGTATTGAAGCACTCACCTGACTCCACATTGCTCACTACCCTGCTCAGCACTCGCTCTACTCCGTGACCTTACCCACCGATTTACTGTTCTATATATAAGAATGGAATGTAAGAGCTGGGTTTTCCATCTTCTTCTTCTCATTCTTCGGCGTTTGTCGTGCTTGTAGGCGGGGTTCGCCTTTCTGGTATGTTGACGCCACTTCTCACGTTGAACGCTTGATCGGGGTAGATGTTAACCGCTTCAGGGCCTTCGTGCAACGTATCGAGCCACCGCTGCTTTGGACGTCCTCTAGGCCGCTTTCCGGAAACGTCAAAGCTGAAACCGATCTTACGGACACTGTCGTTCTTTGCGCGAAGAACATGACCATATCATTGTAGACGGGCTTCGCGCATTTTATCGGCAATGGGAGCTACAACGAATTGCTCCCTGATGGCGTCATTACTTATACGGTCTAAGCGTGTTACTCCGGCTGTCCAGCGCAGCATTTTGGTCTCCATCACACTGAGACGGGCTTCAACTTCTTTGGTTGCAGGCCAGCATTCAGCGCCGTAAATTGCGACCGGCCGGATGACAGCTCTGTAGATCTTGGATTTGAGACGCTCAGGCATGTTCTTATCGCAGAGTATACCAGTCATCGAGCGCCACTTCGACCACGCTGCATTCACGCGAGAATTCGTTTCGAAAACCAGGCTGTCGTCAGACGCAATCGACAATCCAAGATACTTGAATGTTGTTGTCCGTGTGAGCTCAGTGCCAATGATCTTGATAGAACTTAGCTCGCTCGGATTGGTGGTCAGGTACTCAGTCTTTTTGACATTCAACCTAAGCCCGAACATAGCCACACGGTCGGACCAGGCTTGCACCTGTTGTTCGAGCTCGTTTTTGTCTTCGCTGGCGAGCATCACGTCATCGGCATAAAGAAGAGTCCATGGAGCCGGCTTCTGAAGGTCTCCTGTGTGTCCATGACGACAAC